AATGACTTCAAAGATCTTTTTCTTTTGTCTCTAAATGCTTGTAGCTAAAATTTGAATCTTTGATATAGGCTAATGACTTCAAAGATCTTTTTCTTTTGTCTCTAAATGCTTGTAGCTAAAATTTGAATCTTTAATATAGGCTAATGACTTCAAAGATCTTTTTCTTTTGTCTCTAAATGCTTGTAGCTAAAATTTGAATCTTTGATATAGGCTAATGACTTCAAAGATCTTTTTCTTTTGTCTCTAAATGCTTGTAGCTAAAATTTGAATCTTTGATATAGGCTAATGACTTCATTTTTTCCACTTAAAATACACTGATTTAGAAATCTGCAAATTTATGATACACAGGTTGGGTATGCTAAACTAAAACGATTTTGAATACTCGAATCAGCGAAGTCTCGTGAACACCACAGCCGATATGATATCGAGGTCGAACACGTATATTCCAGAAATACATTTGGAATTGGTTGGCGTCCGTGGGTAATGTAATGTAACCGAAATATTCATACACCCGAAACATAAAAATGTGTTGAGATCGGGAATTTTAGAATTTTGAGAACAGTGATATCCCTTGTACTTAATGACATTGAAAAACAAAGGAATGTGGATTAACTGGGAGACCCAGGACCATCCAGAAAGGGACCTGCAACACGTCATACCCCACCCAACCTCCCGCCGTGGTAAGTAAAATTCGGCGTCACGTAACAGACGAGAATCCACGAACACATATTCCGCTTGTAAAAGCCGTCCGCATGATCCTGACAATGGTACGCTATATTTAATGAAGAAGAATCACTGTCTGGAAAAGCAACACAAATTATGCATACACATGTTGCCCCCCCGTGTCATATTCAATAAACTATTGCATAACTCACGCAACTGGAGAATGGAACGTGTATTCATGCTATTCCGTACGAAAAAATATCGTACAAGTCGCCCAACTTAGCGCCTCTGGTTTTATGAGCGATCTAGTAGTCGAAATTGGGGTTGGGAGCTTGACAAGACGTGGTGAGGATCCAGAATTTTAATATAACATACACAACCTCATTTATACAATATAAATATTATAAGTTATATTTTTGATTTCCCTGTATTATTAGGTTAGGGACTTCCGACTTTTAGAACAACACAAGAATTATAAATAATATTTTAGATTTCTCTGTATTATTAGGTTAGGGACTTCCGAATTTTAGAACAATACAAAAATTATAAATAATATTTTAGATTTCCCTGTATTGTATTTTAGAACAATCTCATATATATATATATATAATGAATCTACACAAGAAAATAGAACAAAATAACTTTGTGGTATTATACTGCATCATATTTAAAGTCTTCTTTAAGTTTCAAATAATATTATGTAAACAGTGAATTTATGTTTTGTAAATAATTCGTTATTGTTATGTTGTTAATCCTGAGATCAAATTCATCTTTGCTATTTTTAAAACTTGTTTAGCAAGAGATACATTAACTGTTTTATAATAGTGTTTGTATTATCCATCTATGTATTGTAAACTAGCGACGGTTTTGGTTCTAGTAAATTTTCTATCGATAGCTAAATCAAGTCACACCGTGGTTGGATGGAGAAGTAATCTATGGACATTCGAAAAGTCAGTCCTGTATGTTGCGGACATTTGAAGGAGGAAAGTTGTCAGATACGAACGAATATCAACAAACCCGCGGTAATTATTAAACATTTCAAATTACGTGTAGGAATATAAAGATGCTGAAAATGTTAGCGTCCTGAAAAAGTATTATTACTTAGTTTTATTATTACATTAAATTCCACTTTTATTCACTTTCATAGAATGATAAAGATATTCCATAAAAGTAAAAATCAAATCAAACGATTTTAAAGCTTACATTTTGTTATTATTGTAATAAAGGAAACGTTTTGTTGTTGTTTTTTAATAATTTAATAATAGTTAGTATTCTCTTATACTATTGTGGTTCTTCGATGTTTTATCGTATTTGTGTTTTAACTATTAATACATAAGTTTATTTGTTGAAGGTTATGATAATCATGAATGCTTTATAAATTGCCATATATTTAGGTGTTTACAATTTTTAACTTATTATGTGTTTGCGTATGATTGTAAGATAGCAGATTCTACTTTTATTTTCTTGTGGTTCATTTATTATTCCTTCTATCGTTTAGTTCAACTATCATTTTTAGTTATCATAGAGTCGGTAGACTGTGTATGGCCAAGGTACTCAATAAGCATAATACTTTCATTTATTTCTCTATCCAACTAGCCCAAAAACAAGGCAAGAAACCATCTCTAAGATACCAAACCACAAAGAGACCAACCCATCAAATTGTTCATATTTATTCTTCTTGTTTCAGTCGAGATAACTTCACAATTACTTCATAACTATTGTCAGTTTAAACTTAAATCCATTCTCTGTGTTTCTGGGCAGTGCACGATGTCATCGCTCAATCGTAATAACTAGTAGTAATTCTAGTGTAAACAATGTTAGTACCCCTTAGATGACTGTAACATGTAGAATATTCAATGCTTTGTACACTATACAATCGGTGTCTTTAGGGAGCTAACTCCTATATTATGTATGAAGTAAAGGAGTAAATAAAAATCAATACAAATAATATTCAGTTTTATTAAACACATTAATAGATACACTAACATTCAGTCAGGGGGAAAAAAGTCACAAGTAAAACAAGTAATAAAAACATTTTGTAAATGTAGAAAGATGTAGGGATGGCAGTGCCAAAAATAATGTAAAGAACAACATACGTGTGATACAGCTATACATAGATCATCCATACATGGCTTTCAGTATTAACATTTAATGTTACAATGTAAAATGTATAATTGACTTTAATATTACTGCAGTTGTAAATTATATATTCTGACTGTTGGTATGCAGTTTGTTTATCATAATATTATGGTCTTGTCAGGGTAGGCATCAATGTAGTGTAATTAAGAACCCAGGACTTACGTACAAGGAAAGCCAAGTTGAGTCAAAATATGTCTTGATTATTACAGACTATTGCTGACTCTCGAATTGACCGATCTCGTAACCATTTCGTACTCGTGCATTTTACAGTGCAATATTAAATTTTAATATTGAAAGTCATCTAGGGATTATCTATGTATAGCTCTATCATCCCTCTATTCTTGTTTGCATTATTTTTAGCACTGTCATCCCTACATCATTTTACATTTACAAAATGTTTTTTATTACTTGTATTAAAATGCTAACTCACCTTCTAGCTAGAGCACGTTGAATTTGAAGATGTTTGTATTATGAAACAGACACAAGCTTCCCCTAGTGGTGACTTACAGATATGAATGTTGTGAAATATATAACTCGTGGCCTAACCACTAAATAAGTACCCTTCCTTGATATAAGACGAGTTGGCTCACGAGATAGAGTTAGAAACAAGAGGGAATCCTCAATAGCTGTGGCACTTAATTCGTTTAGGTAGGATTAGAGCAAATTAATCAATGAGACTTTTTTTTCTTTTTTTTTATTTGCTACATTTTTGTGCGCCAGCATTACCAAGCCTGGGGCGCCCATACACCCAATTCGATTTTATTACACATCAAGATCTCAACCAGCCTACCCTCAAGTTGAAATTATGTTAGGCAGGATTAGAGTAAATTAATCTATAAGACATTGGGCGTGGTCAAATACATAAATCGAAAGTTTTTTTACCTCCTGAGTCCAGAACTGCAATTAGATCTCAAATCGTTCAAGAAGTGACGGAGATATTAACTAAAAGTTTGTACTTTGGGAAAAAACAATTCCAAAAGCAACCACCATATTTGAAAAGCAATACTGTCTAAACTGTAGACAACTCCTACTCTGCCAAAATTTAAACTTATGACCCCTTGTCCTATTGTTTTCACTGCTAAACACACAAAAGCTTGTATCTATATTATCAATACCTTTAATAATCTAAAGCACCTCAATCAAATCCTCTCTAACCCTTCACCTCTCCAGAGAAAACAGGTTTAGAGATTTTAGTCTCTCCTCACAGGACAATCCCACCATCCCAGGTATCATCCTAGTGGCTCTTCTCTGAACCTTCTCTTGGGGAAGGGAACTCAAAACTGTACGCAGTACTCCAAATGAGGCCTTATGAGTGATCTATACAGTGAAACAATAATATCTCTTGTCTTCTATTCAATATTCCCATACATGCTACCCAAATCCTATTAGCCCTATTGCTAACTACAATACACTGTTCAGATGACTTAAGTGATTTTTTTTTATCAAAATGCCAAGATCTTTTATCCAATCACAGTATTTAATGTATTCCCCTTTAAATTGTGAAAACCTACATACATCACCTTACATTTTGGATAGTTAAACATCATCTCCAACATATTGGCCCAATGCATCAAATGATCTTAATCTCTCTGTAAGTCTGTGGCATCTTTGATACAGTTAGCTCCCCCAAAAATCTTAATGTCATCTGCATACTTCAAAATTTTGTTATTCATTCCAGAGTCAATATGATTAATATAAATCACAAACACCAGAGGACCCAGCACAGAGCCCTGAGGCACACCACTTATTACTGTAATCCAGTCATGTCTAACTCCATTTATTACTACTATGTTTTCTACTCTCCAGCCAATTTTCTATCCAATTTAATAACATTTTTCCCACACCCACAGATTTAGTTTTTGTAACAAGTCTATTGTGAGGCACTATATCAAACACTTCGTGAAAATCAAGGAAAGACAAATCCACATAATTTCCTTCATCAACTCTTGCAGTAACATCCTCAAAGAATGTCAGAAGATTTGTTAAACAAGACTTTCACTTAGTGAAACTATGTTGGCTCTTTGGGACAATATAAAATTGCTTTAAGTGACTCTGAAATGCATCTTTAATCACACTCTTCAAAACCTTTCCAACTACTGATATAAGACTAACTGGTCTATAATTGCCAGGAAAATATTTATCACCTCCTTTAAATATTGAACTAAAATTAGCCAACTTCCAATACTCTTTCACTACTCAATGACCTATAAAAAATATTAGCTAGCGGTTCACAAATAAAATCCTTAAAATCCCTTAAAACACTAGGATAAAATCGTAGATTTTAAAATATGTTCATGTTTTATGCCTGTTGTACATGTTTTCCTGTGAACTATATTTACTATTTTACTAATATCATAGCCCTAGTTTAAATCTACCATTATAGGTGAGCTAATAGCCCTTGCTAACATGCTAGCCCCTACCTTGTTTAAGTGTAAGCCATCCATTCCAAAAAGATTAACTTTCCAATTAAAATTACCTCACAAATCCAACCAGCCTATTTGCTCATTCCTATGTAACGATCTAAGCCTGGCAGTCAATCCTAGTGACCTACTTAATATCTCATCCTTACATATTGATCTAAGCCTGGCAGTCAGTCCTAGTGACCTACTTAATATCTCATCCTTACATATTGATCTAAGACTGGCAGTCAATCCTAGTGACCTACTTAATATCTCATCCTTACATATTGATCTAAGACTGGCATTCAATCTTCATTACCTACTTGGTATCTCATCTCCACAATTTATTCTTGGCAATGTCCCTGACAAAATCAAGTTATGACCCCATTCCTTAAATTCTCTTAGTGTTTTATACTTATCAATAAGCTCCTCAGATCCATCTTTCCTTACCTCATTAGCCCCAACATGTACCACAAAAACTGCATTGCTACTAGCACCCTTAACTATCTCTCTGGTTCTATCAGTTATATCCTGTACCCATTGCTACTATCACCCTTAATTACCTCTCTGGTTCTATCGGTTATATCCTGTACCCATTGCTACTATCACCCTTGACTATCTCTGTGGTTCTATCAGTTATATCCTGTACCCATTGCTACTATCACCCTTAATTATCTCTCTGGTTCTATCAGTTATATCCTGTACCCATTGCTACTATCACCCTTGACTATCTCTCTGGTTCTATCAGTTATATCCTGTACCCATTGCTACTATCACCCTTGACTATCTCTCTGGTTCTATCAGTTATATCCTGTACCCATTGCT